GGTTGACAGCGCCACCAACGACAGAGCCCGCGTTACAACGCAAACTGAAACATTGCCAGCTCCCCTTGACCGCCTCTTCGCCTTCTTGTGGTCGTGCTTCTCGATCTCGCTCCGGAGCAAAGGTTTGGTAACTTGACATTTGAAAGCATGTTAAAGTCTGGCATCCCTGTGTATGCGTTGTCATATTGGTACGGCGCCTTTTCGTGCGCTTTGCTTAGGGTGATAACTTCCGACTATTTTGTTTCTAACGGTTTTGTTTCTTTTTTGTTACGGGGCACTGGAAAGAACGTCTCCCAACACGAGCTTTTGTTATTGAGTTTGCTACGGCTGCTTTTTGTTACCGATAATTTTTTTGTATATTCCTCTTGAGTGCATGCTGTCGATATCGACACTACAAAAAATGGTATAACCCTAAAAAGAAAGTTATTGAGGCACCATACACGTAGTTCGGCGAGCAGGAGTTTGCTCGGAACTGTGGTTTGATCGTGCCCCCGCAGCTGCGAGAAGATTGCCCAGAGAAAACTAGCCAGACGGGGAAACAATTTTTCCTTACGCCAAGAAAGACTTGATTCTCGCCAAAGATCGCTTCAGAGCATTCAGTCTTTTCAAAAATATTGTCCCTAGAAAAAGTAAAAAATACAGGTTCAGCGATTGTCCTGGGAAAGCCTGTGCTTGTTTGGTAGGGAAGGAGCCAAAAATGCTTTGCCAAAGAAAACACAAAAAACGTATATGCCACAAGAAATTAGAAATCCCTTCAAGAACTAAAACAAAATGTCTGTGTGTGTTTTTCATTCCTACCTTTCTCGACAGTATGCTGGCTGGTACGTGGCTTGGAACACTCTATTAGGGGTTGTGTTTAAAATTATAACCGATATGAGGTGCTCCCATTATCGAATACTGTGAGCACTGTTTCCCCAGTGATGTACTCGCGTCTTGCCACGTATATACGAGTATTTCTCTGCAGTGAGTGACCACCTTTCCTCTCCTTTTTTCTTGTTGATTTACTCTATATAGAATGGCACAAACTTATTAGTATGTCCTTTTTTAATATTATGTTTAAAAATACGTTTCTGCTTAAAGTGGGTGTTGCAAAAAAAAAAATAATGAAAAGTTCTTCCGTTTGAGCGCATGTTCTGTACTTCGTTCACCCTTATGCTGAGACTAGAGGGTCCGCCTTCAACGCAAGCTAGCTGCCTTCCGCAGTGCTTTGCTCGTGCCTGCGCGTTCACATTTGTGTTACAAAGGCAGAGAGCTTGCGCTGAAGGAGGAGCTCCTTCTCTCACCTTAAGGATGAACGGAGAGAATGTCGCCGACTTCCGGGGCGATCTCGTAACTGCGATAATCTTTCCAGCGATGCACATTGTCTCCGGAAGGATAATCGCTTACAATACAAATACGAATAATGCAAATACGATAAAAATGACTATCTCCATATTCTGACTCGAACAGTTCTTGTACAAAGGTAAGGAAATGGCGTAAAAAATGCCATCGAGGCATTTTATTTTTATCTACACTTGATTTAATGATGTAGCATGAATGAGCGGATTCGGCATCCGATGTTGTTCTGAATTTCGCGGATGCGGTTTAGATTCGGGTGCGAATTCGGCCGTATGCTGATCGAAAGCAAATACAATAATTTAGGGACACTGCGGATGCTTTCAGAGTCCGGTTACAAAGTCTGAGGATGTGGATCAAATGCGGATGATCAACACCTGCGCGAAACACAGGTGTTGATTTTATCTTAAAGACGTATTCACGTCAAAGAGGATCTGTACACAAAATGTGCGTATCACCTGAAAGCTTTTCCCGGTCAAGCTGCACTTCACGCAACGTTTTACTGTTTTACATGAAGAGCATCGGACGTGGCATTGGAAGAATTTAGTGTCCTAAAAGCGATTGCATTTGGAGGCAGCGACACTGTACCACCAATTGCAAGCATGGTTCGTTGATGGTTTAGTAACCGCAGAGTGCCCGATTGGGAGCGTGCCGCAACTAGAGGGGGCGCGCCGCTCCCCACCGGCATCTGGTTGACAGGGCCATCAACGACAAAGCCCGCGTTACAACGCAAACTGAAGCAGTGCCCGCTCCACTTTACCGTGTCTTTGCCTTCCAGTGGTCGCGGTTCTCGATCTCGATCCGGTGCAAAGGTTTTGTACCTTGACATTCGAAAGCGTATTAAAGTCTGGCACCCCTGCATATGTGTTGTCATGTTGTTACGGTGCCTTTTCGTGCGCTTTGCTTAGGGTGATAACATCCGACTATTTTGTTTCTAACGGTTTTGTTTCTTTTTTGTTCTGGGGCACTCGAAAGACTGACTCCCGATACGCTTTGGTTATTGAGTGTGCTACGGCGGCATTTTTTTGCCGCATATTTTGCGTATATTTTTCGTGAGCGCATGCTCTCGGTATCTATACCACAAAAAATAGTATAGCCGTAAAAGGAAAGTCATTGATGCACCATACACGTAGTTCGGCGAGCAGGAGTTGCTCGGAACTGGCGTTCGATCGTATCTCCCGCAGCTGCGAGCGGCAGCGCAAGCAACTCACCACCACGTTTTTCGTTTATCAGCGCTGGAGTATGCATCTATGAAGCGCTTGCGTGTTCGACGGTCCGGAAATCACTACGGCACGGCATTTCCCAGTGATAGTAAATGATCAAATTAACATGATAAGTATTTTCGGTCCGCTTATAATCAAATTGCGCTTCCCTCGCCGGCGAATTGCGTGAACTTGGTAAATGTAAGACCATTGCAAACGTTTTGCCAGAACGTGGAGTTGATCATTGCTTTCGATGTCCAGCTCTTGTGTGGAACAAAAAATAGTGCAACTGTGAGACCGTTTTTTTTATAGCGCTGTGCTCATTTGAGCTAATTGGCATTTATTAAAAACTAAGGTTGGCTATTACATAGGAGTCATGTGGAAATGCTCCTGTGAAATGCTACACCATGGCACCACTGCCTTCTTGCACGCTGTCAATAGCGTTCGCTGACCTTTTAAGTGGCAGATTCCGTTTCGCAAAAACAGTGATGTTTCGCCTATCGCAGTTTGATAAGTTGCACTCGATGTCGCAAAGAAGATACGTTTTATCCACTTGAACACTGAGCATGGGAATCAGCTGGCTGTGATAACATCATAGTGGATGCTTCATATTTAAGAGCATACTTGAGCTATACGGCGTGCAGTAATGTGCATTGACCTGGGGCTCTAAAGTCGTCAAACACAAAGTTGAGGCCTAAGTTCGAAAAGCGCAGCTACTGGACTCGGGCGACGATGACGCAGCGCTTTTGACGCCATAGTCCAATCGGCGCGCTCCGCGAACTTTCGGCTCCAACTTTGTGTTGGACGAGTTTAGAGCACTTGGCCTACTCGCTACCCCTTCAGCGCCACCAGAGAAACTTGCCGAAAATCCCGAGCTTAAAGGGACGGTGTGACGCATTTCATAGTTTCACTAAATACAGCTTATAACTGATCCTTCAAATTGTAAGTTGCGAAAGACGCGTTATTTTTTTTTCTTCCACGCAATGGCAGACGAAGGATAGAATAGAGAACTCGTAGGCAGAACAAGGGACCATGTGATTTGGACATCAATTTATGCCGCCATTCTTCATGAAAACCCAGCGCTACCATTGGCAAAACAAAGGGCCGTACTACGATGAGCCCTAAAATGTGCTGAGTTCCACACATCGTTAGGGTTCAGCTATTCTAATTATAGTATCGATTGAACTCTAGCCACTACACGAATGTTTGTCGAGGCATGATTGTTACGAGTCAAAATCGAGTGCTTACAAAGTGCTGCTGTCCAATCTATGGCCCACATTTGAAACCCCCCGTGGCTGACATTCATCGGAACCCACGTTCCGTCATAAAAATTGCCAAAAAAAGGAACTGAAAAAAAAAAAAAAACGTTTCACACTTATATTCGAAATTACACAGTGACAAAGACTCCTCTTGGTGAGTGGCGTTGCCGGCGAGTATGCTCGCGTTACAGTGTCAGTAAGCTTGCGTGAATCCAGAAACATTGCGCGCCACTAGCGTCGAACCGCAACTCAAAGCACGTGGAGCGAAGGCGCGCGCTGAAAACCCCAAGGATCCTGGGTCCAATTCATGCGACCTGGAAGACAAGACCTGCGTCATTACCTCCCAAACGTCATCACCTCCGAAACGTCATCACAATGCCAATCCACGCACCGCCCCCTAGCGGGTCTTGTAGCGTCTCAAAACGAGCGTGACGCAAGCGTGCGGCGACGCCAGAAAGAAACGCGTCTACCGCATTGCGGCCCCTCTCGTCCCTCTTCAGCTTGTTTTTTTTCGCTCGAGGCGTGTCGGGGATTTACCAATATTGACGTCATGGGCCTTGTCTGTGATCAAGTCAACTTTCTAGTGCACAGGCTATAGTTATTGGGCGTGGCGTTGGCCCGTGCTGATCTGAGCGAGCATTGAATATACCGGAGTGTGATCGCGGTATCACTACTGCACTACCATGCATTAAAGTCCCCAAGCTATGCGGAGAGCAAGTCGCCTGCTTCTTCAGCAGGGGATGACGTCGGAACCAGGCCGAACTCTGATTGGCTCCGATTGAAGGATAGTGGGTAGACGTCAAAGGAAGCTTCCTTGAAGTCTACCCACTATCCTTCAATCGAAAGACATCAAAGCCTGGCGTTCTGTCGTCACCACGACCCCGGCAAAGGAAGCAGACCAACCTGCACTCCGCATAAGACCTACGCGCTGTTTCCAAACAAGCCCGCATTTGCCCACAGTAGGTGTGATTACTACGCGTGCGCGGCGAGTGGATCCAAGTCAAGGGATTATTCCGCGTATCTACCAGGACGACAGCAGCGCCACCGCAGCCGCGTGACGTCAACGTTTGTGTGGACTCACTGACAGCTCAAGGAACGCAGGTTGTGGCGATCATCTGCGCCTGCTAACGCTCCATGGCCAATGAGATAGCGATGTCTGCTAATAAGACCGCCGAAGAACAAATAAGTGAGGAAGGAGTGTTTTGCCTTGTTGTGTGAAATGCGTGCACGATTTGCTGATTTGCTCATGCTGTGCGGAGATATAGAGACCAATCCCGGTCCTGACAGGGCAGCGATGATGGAAATGTTAACTAATATCTCGGTCGACATTAAGGAAATTAAGCTCAGCCAGGCTGCGACAACATCGAGACTAGAGAAAATAGAATCGCGCCTCGAAGGCCTTGAAGAACTCAGGTCCGTTGTGAACAAAAACTGCGACAAGACCAACCGCCTCGAAGCCACCATCACATCACTCTCGAACAAAATTGATTATTTAGAGAACCGTAGCAGAAGAAACAATCTAATTAGTTTTGGTCTTTCTGAACTACCTAACAAAGAGAGTAGCACCCTCGAGGATAGAGTAACTAAAGAGATTCTTGGTGGAAAACTAAATGTAAAGATTAATGGAATCGATCGTATACTTCGCCTTGGGAGGCCAGCTCATGGCAAAACCCGTCCAGTAATATTTCGACTCGTAAACTTTAAAGATAAATTGAATATTTTACGCAACTGCAATAAATTGAAAAATGAACGACTCTCGATTAGTGAAGACTACTCAAAGCGAATTCAGGGCATTAGAAAAAAATTACTTGATAGCTCGAAATCAAATAAACTTGCTGGTGATAAGGTCACGCTTACCTATGACAAAATTAAGATAAATGGCACAGTATAAATTTGGAATGAGGCCATAAACGATAAGGTTCCCATGTCTGAGGAAACCCGGAATCCCAGTACGTGACCAAGCCCTACTCAAGTCAACCGTGTATATGAATTTCGATTACTAAACCTAAACGCGCGAAGCATCGTAAATAAAACTGATAAACTTGAAGCTGCTGTTTTGAATACCCAACCTGATATTATAGCAATGACAGAAACTTGGCTATCAGACAGCATTCTTGACTGTGAAATCACGCCCCCAAACTATACGATTTTGCGCAAGGATAGAGGTTCTCGCGGTGGTGGAGTAGCGATTCTTGTAAAAAATGGCATTGTATGTACCCCCTTACCCGATTGCCCAGAAATTGAGTGCCTGTGTTGTAAAATTGCTTATAAAAATACGTGCTGCTATATACTTGTTCTCTATAGACCTCCCACTTCCACTTCAGGGTTTTTCAAAAGTATGTATAGTTATATCAATGATAATATTAATGTGAGCAGTAAGATTATAATTGCAGGTGACTTCAATCTACCTTCCTTAGAATGGTCCTCTCTATCGAAATGTACAGAATCATCTCTCGGCGCAGATATCCTTACAGATCTATGTTTTCATTATAACCTCACCCAAATAGTTACTGAAAATACCCGTATTCAGGGAACGTCGCAATCAATGCTCGATCTCGTCTTTGTCACCGATCATTTCCTGAAAGATGAACACAGCGTAGAAGTTTTAAATGGTATACCTGATCATGAGATGGTTTTGTGCTGCTTCAAAACGAACATCCCAACTTCTGGCAATCCCCAGACTTGTAAGGTTCTGAACTTTGACAGAGCAGATGACGTTGGCGTGCTCGACTTCTTTGATACACACTTCGATAACTTTCTTCTACTGTCCAAGAGCGACCGTAACACTGTAGATATGCTTTGGAACGAATTCAAAACGGCAGTTAACACGTGTGTCTCATGTTTTATTCCACAACGAACTAAACGAATTAAGAAAAACCCTCGGATAACGCGAGAAATCATCCATGTAAAGCGAAAAATAAATAGGCTTCGTAAGAAGGCAAAGAAAACCAGAACTCTTCGAAATAAGAACAAAATGGCATTACTCAACAGCGATCTTGGACAAAAAATCAAGTCGGCTAAATACAATTTTTTCAATATCACTCTCCAACCGTTTATTCAATCTTCACCCGTCAAATTCTGGAACTATGTCAACCCAAAAAACAAATCGAGTCTAGAAACGCTCCTTAGTGACAAAGCAAATCTTGCAAAAGCCTTCAATGATTATTTTCTTTCGGTCTTTACAACAGATAATGGTAATGCACCCTCATTCGCGTCCAATTCTCCAGTCTTGGCTGTAAATGATGTTGTAATTACCGAACAGGGTATCTTATCTCTTCTACTCAACCTGAACACAAAAAAAAGTGCTGGGCCGGACGATATACTAAATAAATTTCTAAAAAGATACGCCGAATGGGTAACAAAATATCTTGTTATAATATTTACACAATCACTTAACAAAGGGCAACTTCCTAAAGACTGGAAGTTAGCGAAAGTCATCCCCATTCATAAGTCTGGAAACAAAAACGAATTTGTGAACTACAGGCCCATCTCCCTTACCTCAACTTGCTGTAAATTGCTCGAACACATTGTTCTGAACCATGTCTCCACCCACATCGAGAATAATCAAATACTTACTCCATATCAGCACGGTTTCAGACGTCACCTTTCAACAGTGACGCAACTTGTTGAAAGCATTCACGATTTTTCCACTGTCATAAACAATAGAGGACAGGTTGACGCCATATTCATCGATCTGTCAAAAGCCTTCGACAAGGTATCTCACCCAAAGCTATTGTTTAAGCTAGAATCTATAGTAGGAGCAGGAAAAATTCTCAGGTGGATTGAAGACTACCTTTCAGATCGCTACCAGTACGTAGCACTTAATGCGCACTCATCATTCAATGGCAAAGTTTCATCGGGAGTCCCACAGGGATCAGTACTGGCACCTTTTTTGTTCCTAGTATACATAAATGACCTGGTCAAAGATGTGAACGTAAAAATTCGCCTCTTTGCTGATGATTGCATACTTTACTCACGAATAAATAACCCAAATGACCAGATTAACCTAAATAATGCGCTTCAACACATCATAAATTGGTGCCACGACTGGCAGATGGAAATAAATTCGAATAAAACTGTATTTATGACCATAACCAATAAAAGACAACACTACTCCTTTCCTTACGAGATAGGCAATAACCTCTTGGAACAAGTCGGTGAATACAAATACCTCGGCCTCAATATAAGTCAAAATTTACGTTGGGACTCACACATTCACTCCACAACTAATAAAGCTCTAAACAAACTGAGTTTCCTTAAACGAGTCTTAAAATTTGCATCTCCTGCCACTAAATTACTAGCCTACAAAACTTTAATACGTCCTATGCTCGAGTACGCCAACGTCGTCTGGTTTCCCCACACAGTCTCCGGCATCAATAAGATAGAAAGAGTTCAGAGAATGGCCGCGAGGTTTATTTGCAATAAGTATAGTAGGCACGTCTCTCCCTCTGAACTTTGCAGGCAACTGGGTCTCTCCTCTTTAGAAAAAAGAGCAAAAACAGCTAGACTTAAATTTCTATACGAATTAGCCAACGATCATTTCAACCTACCAAAAGAAAATTATCTTATCCATACAAGCAAACGATTAACACGGTACAACCATGGCAAGCTTTACGAGGAAGACGTCGCTCATAATAACTGCTTTAAATTCTCTTTTTTTCCCGAACCATTAACGAATGGAACCACCTGCCTCAGAACGTTCTTCATTCCTCTTCTATTGAAATCTTCCTCGATTACGTAGATGCCCACTTTTCATCATAAACTAATATTTTATGCTGTTTTTAAAAGTGCAGTGTATCTATTGTATTGAAGTTGTTTACTAATTTTTCATTCGCGACTTCTATATTTGCTTTGAATATTTACCTGCAAATTGTGTGTTGAATATTATTTTTCTGCTTGTAATATCTCAAACTGTACCACCCTACAACAACCCCGAATGGGGTTAGTAGTATTGGAAATAAATAAATAAAAATAAAAAAAACATGTCAGCCCATGCCCAGCGCTTCTTAAAGTGCCTTCGCTGATGTCGCCGGTGCACCAGCAACATTGCTCCTGGACAGAGGTGACACCATACCTTCATAAGGACTGACGAACTTTACGCCCTTTAAAAGTATAACGCAACGCACAATGGATACAATAAGAAGAGAGAAGGAATCCTCAATCGTTGACATTCGACGTCGCTACTTTCGCGTTGGTGTCCTGAACGTACAAAACAGGTATCAATTTTAAACGTACTTGTTATGGGCTAGTTGGTGATAAACGTTTTGAACCATGGCTAAAAGCGGTAAAAATAGCAACACTAGAAAAAAGACAAACTCAGGTGCCCGTGTTTGTTTTATCTCCTCGTGTTCGTCTTTTTAGCGTTTTCGACCATGGTTCAGATCAGATATAAGAGGCGACGCTTGGATTATCTGAACAATCTTACTTCCCGCCGTGGAAATCCAACCGAGTGATAGACAAAGAACGGTGTTTCCAGTCAAGCAAATGTCAGCATTTATTTTTGTTGGCGCAAACAGGGGCAAAGCCTGCTGCACCTCCCCCCCCCCCTCCCCCACCCCTTCCTCTCGCGTGGCGGTGTCTCTCAGAGCTGCGGCGGTCATGTCGCTAAAACAATAGCGGCTGACGGACAAAAAAACAAAAAAACAAACAAAAAAAGACAGACCTACTCGCTATTTAACGGCTCATTTTTGTAGCTATCAAAGGGCACGGCTAAGGCTGACTCAATACCTCCGAAAAATGAAGCTCGTGATATTCGCCTTTCTGCTAAACGTTGTCTGGAGTCGGAAACCCGGTGAGTATCTGAACCTTTTTTATTTCTAACTCTAAAATGCTGGGCATAAACTTGGGCAAAATACTATTCAGAAGCTTTGTTCAGGTTATGAGGCGTTAGAGGGTGTTCAGATTTTTATGCAAAGGATGCTTTCAAACGAACGGTTTTTTACGTTTAGCTAAACATATTCTGTGTATTTTGTTGGTACTTGCGAACCTCAAGTTAATCAGGGCAGTTAAGAATAAACCCTCTGTACTATAGTTTTGCAATATTTCATGTGTGGCTCGTTGTACTATTTACGAAAATCTTGATAATGTTACCGTAGGCAGCCGCGTGCGTGTGAGTAAACAATCAGAAATCATAACTTCATATCAATACATAAACTGTGATCTCTTTCTTCTTTGTTCCTCTTTTGGACAAATTTTAGAAGAATATCAAATTTATCACCTTTATTTCATCTGGAAAAACTTTTCCCAGATGTGATAATCCCGCTGAAGTCCTTACATACCGTGGTAATCGTTAGAAATTCATAAATTTCTGAAACTAATAAGACTTCGAAAATTAATATTGCACACTATTGTTTTATGCGTTCGTTTTCGACTTGGAACTGGAGTCAAAGACCGAAAATTTGATCTTTTACTTTTGTTTTAATAAAAAAAGCTATGCCTTTGTAAGGATTTGAAGTCCTAAATTTACGAAGCTGTGACGATTGCAAAACAAAATTAAAAAAAAAACAATATCTGAACCGGATAAAGTCATTTACGAGGCATTTTCGTATCAGGCATCAATGGGAGGACAAGTGTACAAGCGCGCTGTCACTAGCACTCACAAATAAAAAGTCGTTTTTTTTTTCTTTTCTTTTTTTAAGCAAGCACCCACATAGGCGGTAGTAATAATATGCTGTTTAAAATAAAACTTCAGTTGTGAATGCGCTGCCTCTCTTTCTTTTTGTTCGTCCCTGTTTACTCGGCGCTTTTCTTCCAAGCTGTGTTCCAACTAGGTCCTGTTTATATCTTAATACAAAACATTATTTTTCAGCCGGATGCGGGAGGCCGTCGATCGAACCTTTCATAGAGCCCGAAGACCGCATTTATGGCGGTAGGGTAGCCGTGCCGGGAAGCTGGCCTTGGCAAGCGCAGTTACAACTGCGCGGCCGCGCACATATCTGCGGCGGTTCCCTGATCAGCGATCAGCACGTTTTGACTGCCGCACACTGCGTCTGGTGAGGGGACATTGTAGAGTGCTAAAACTATACGGCCGCAAGTTCGTCTGCTTCTTTTACATAGGCTGTGTTGATGTGAGAACGCCGAGCTCTTATTGGCTGATTGAAAAAAATTAGTGGGACGGACCTCAGGGCATCGAACATTGAGGTCTACCCACTATTCTTTCAATCAAAGCCAGTCAGAGCTGAGCGTCGTTAGGATGTCAGCATAACTGCAGCGCAAGAAGCAGACAACTTGCTCTCCGAAGAGTCACCGAGAACGGAAGAAACGCTGTGTGTGTCTCATTATGTCCACAGTCCTTACTTTACGATATCTTTTTCGCTGTTATTATTAGCTGATTCATAGATCTCATTGCCTACAGATTGACAAAAAAAAATGCTCAAAACTCTCCCCACCCTACGCCTTTCTTTTTTTTTTTTTTTAACCTCTTATGGACTATCGGTGACTTCAACGAAATCGACAGCATCTAGCGGCTGAAGGATAGAGAGTTGTGGCTGCAGGTTCGCTCAGCAGCACTCTCAAGCAAATAACGACAGGCTTGCTATAGACCTTTCCAATGTTTACAAATCCACAGCTCAGCGTGCGATCTCCACAGCTCAACACGCGCGTGTGCGTCGCTTCGGAAAGCGAGCAAATCACGCACGATACGCACGAACACTGAAAATGAAACCGGCCAGCAGCCCTTTCCTGGAAAGGTCTATAAAGGGCGTCTCAGCCGAGACTGGGTGAAAGAAAGGCCTGCCAAAGCCAACGCACGAGCTGAGCAGGACTCAAACCGCGTATCAAGACGCTCGCGAAAGCCTTTGCATTGCTTTCGTTGAACCAGTCTCAGCTGAGACGCTGTTCTAGCAAGCCGGCCCAGACATTCACACCACCTGGCGGTGATTTTTTTTCATCATGCACCACGTGGAGTTTATTGTTTTTATTTTGCGGTATGCGCGTCAGTTAGTAATATATAGAGACTCCAGAATTAATATTAGCCCTGTAAATCGAGCAAGAAGAAACCGCACTTGCACAGAGATGTAGATGGCTAAATCAGTGCTGAATCTTGGAAGTTTGTGAGTGTTATTTTTCGCAAGAGCAAAATTGCGCCTTAAGATATCGCAAGCAAAAATGCACCACTAAAATTCCCTTTAGTGCATGTTCGAGCTTTCTATGTAAAAGTGTTGATTTTGCGGGCTCGTTTTGCAGTGCTAGGATTCATTGTAAAAACCCTATATCTGTTCGCATCGGCTTTCTTTTTTGAATTAGGGGAACACGGCCGGCAAGCTTGAAGATTCACCTCGGTTCACACCGGCGCCTAAGAAGAGAACCAGGGGAGCTTGTTGTCGACGTCCATGAAATTTGCATCCATCCTGCTTCTCGTGCCAGCCTCCCAGCGGTAACAAAACAAAATGGCGGTCCTTTCGATGACAGAACAAACACGATTGCTTCCCTCAAAACACTGTTAGAGCGCTGCTTTGATAGATGCTATTCATTTCTCAGAGTAGAAATTCTGGAGTGCATATGTTTCCACTAGATACGCGAGAGAACAACTGCCCGCTATCTAGGGAGCAGCTCAGATAATCACGAGGCTGAATCTACATTCAAAACCAAAAGAGGCTGAGTTTGCATTCAGAACTAAAAAACACCAATGCGCTGCGTCACTGAGCATAGTGAAGGGTCATACTGACTGCCAAAGCGAAGAATGCTTTTTAATGCGTTAGGATTAAAACGCTCTTTCTGGCAAAAACCCGGCGGTATCTTTCGTTTCTCAGCGCCGGGGAGAGAGGGAGAAGATGGGAGAGGGCGGTTCGTGGGACGCTCCCGTTGCCCCGAAGCGCTGACGTCGGCACGAGTTAACCCCTCCCTCTCTTCTGCTCTGGCGAACTGACAGACACCGCCGAATCTCTTTCAAAACGAGCGCTGTCGTTTTCGTGAGTCTCGCGCGAAGTTGGCTCCAGGCCAGAGAGGAGGCGGCGCCGCGCAACGTCTTCTAAAAAACAAAACCGTATTGCTGAATGAGACGGCGTCATCAGAGAAGGTGAATGCTGGACGAAGACATGGACACGAGGACTGCGTCAGCGCTCGGCTTCCAATCAAGTTTGAGCGGAACGTTGACGCAACCGTCGTGTCACACCTCTGTCCAGCGTTGGCCTTCTCTGATGACGCCATCTCCTTCAGCACCAGGGCTTTGTTATCTAAGAGGTGTTTCTACTGCGCGTCGGAATGCGGGGCATGCTCAGTTACCACCCTGCCGTCGCCGGTTGTTCTTCTCTCTGGGTTTCCGTAGTAGCGGTGCGTGGGTTGTGATCAGTGTGTGCAGTTAAAACGATGAATGTGGTTCCCTCCACGAGTGGTGTAGATGTGTCTTTCCACGAGAGATATGGATTACCTTATCGAAGGGCGTCGACGTACTCTAAGAGGCAAAGCACAGAAAGTGTGTGTGTGTTCATGGGGGGGGAGGGGGGGGGGGTGAACAAATCACCGGAAGATCCATTATTGACTTTTAGGGAATTAATTAGAAAGACCCTTGCAAAACGCTAGCCCTGACCCCGTAACGAAACCAAAACAGCCAACAAAAAATAGAGAGGACGCAAAAGATAAAGCCAAAAGAGAAAATTGAAGTGTTCTGCGTTAGCGTTTCAGAAAGGGGAACGTGTGTAGTGATTCATATCGTTACCCTAACGCATTCCCAAAGTATACACCAATGAATCCTCATGCAGCTTTTTTAGACGTTAGCGTATTTTGAATTTCCTAATTCCCTAACGTTTTGTGTAAATAACAGCGACTGGCTTTCTCAAGTGCTTTGCGCCAAAGTAGACGTGTCAGATATCTTGCAATGTACGCTATTCTATAAAACACTTTTCTGACTAAAGTCGCTTGTACCATTACAACAGCAATTGAGGATCCGCGCCGTAAGGGCGTCATTTTGTCACTCATATAAAACGCACTCTTTGTCGAAGATTACAACCATAGATGAGCATCCGTCGATGCCTCGTTTGTCTTTTTTTAAGTTTCGCACTTACTAAAATAGAGCTCCCTGGAGATTAATCGAAGCGTTTGTTTTGAGCACCGACTGTTAGTGGGAACCTCCCCGGGAAAATGCGTGGTCGTCCAAGGCCAAAACTACCGGTGACGTCGTCAGCTACATTGTCAATCACGTGATAGCTTCGAGCTCCCACACATGAAACTTCAAGCCGCGCCAGACGCCGTCGCTGCTGTAGTCGGCGTCCATGCATGAAGGCTCATCCGCCTCAACATTCGAGACTGGCAAATCCCCTACGCCTCCCCTGCTCGCTTTTAAGGTCGGAGGCGAAAGAAAAGCGAGAGAACGCATTCTACGGATAAACAAGCGCGCCAGGTGCGCACAGACCTGACTTGCACACTGTATGGGCGAACATTTTCTCAGACAATATGTCACGAGATAACAGCCGTCGCTGCAGCACACGTTCCGTGATAGCCTAAATACACCTCGATTTTTGTCTTCATGTAGGCAGAGCCTCTCTTCCAATGTTTGATCCTACGATAAACTATAAATACGCGAGACGTGTAAATGTCAATCACGCAGCCGTTGATTTAGCCCTTGTTGAAAGGTAAACATATTTATTTTCCCGTGCGCAACTGGTGACAACGAATTGTTGGCATTTTCTTAACAGTCACAAACGGCAAACGTTAAAGTTTCCAGCTAAACCGTCGATGTAAAGTGAATAATAACGTTCTCAGCTATTGTACACTTACTGTAAAGAAATAAAATAAAAAAATACAAAAAAACGACGGGCGTGGCGGAAAAATGTTTGGGCATTTTGTACGGTCTTATCGGCGAATGCACCTGGATTAATTACAGACTTAGGGAACCATTTTTGAGGGCCTATCGTAGATAGGCCCTCAAGTACGAACTGCGAATGTGTGAGCCCTCTGCCGTGGCACGTGCGCAGTTCATATTGGAGGGCCTATCGTACAGTATTCAATATGCAAAAACGGTTCCCCAAAACTTGCTATTAGCGTCGCCGCAATAATGTAGTGTTTGAGATTCGGAACGCCCTGCGTTTCTTCAGCTGCATCTGACTATACGGAGCGCAAGTTCGTCTGCCTCTTGCGCAGGGATTGCGGTGACGTCAGAACGACGAGCTCTGGTTGGCTTTGATTGGAAGGATAGTGCAGACCTGCATGCAGCTCCCGCTGTGGTCTACCCACTATCATTCGAATCAGAGCCAATCAGAGCAAATCTGAACTCTGCTTTTGACGTCTCCGGAACCCATGCGCAAAAGGCAGACGAACTTGTGCTCACCATAGTGTCACATTGTGGGCGGCAATGTGAGTCGGCGACCGTCAGCTACAATGGCGAATTATATTTTTTATCTGACCGGCCGTGCAGATAACCAAAGAAGCCTGTGAGTCATTAGATAAACATTTAGATAAAACAGACAGTCCCAACATTTCGAATTGATTAGACAGGAACCTCGATTTATTTGTATGGTCGTTTCGTCCGTAATTTCGGACTGTTTTACTTAATTTACTATTGCGAGGAATACATTTTTTTTTAATACTGGAAATACTGTGATTGTGGGCAGACAATCCTTCATGTCTAGTTCTAAAAGTGAGCTTAAAACAATGCTGAGATTTCTGAACTGGTTCCACCATTTGCGATACAGCATGAGCATGGGAAAACGTTTGAGTCACGTAAGGGGCAACGATTTGTTTGGCCTAGAAGAAAAGTCTGTCTCGAACACGGCAGCTTGTGAGCGACGTCATTTTGAATACAACTCACAGGAGATGTAAATGATTACTTTAGATTTCGAAAGTAAAATCTGTCCAGCACTTTCAGGTGATAGCATGCCGTAGCAAGCATCAGCCTTGATTCGTGCCGCGACGCATGTAGCGGAGACATGACCCCAACAGACCGCCTTCTTTTCGCAGGGTTTAGGGCAGGACATCGCAATCATCAAGTTGAAGAGCAAGGTGAATACGACGACGACCATACAGCCAGTGTGCTTGCCCGAAAACCACGAAGAACTGTCCAATACATCGAAGGTGTTCGTTCTCGGTTGGGGAGAAACAGAACGTAAGACTACTCAAGAATATCTCGACACTTTCATTTAAAAACAGACACTCTAAGAAATGCCCGTACGTCTGCCCCTGACTCCCTCCCCTCCGCTCCCTTCTATTTACAGAGCGCTTCGAGAGTTAATCACTATGCTTATAAAAACTGGATATCAGGGGTTTATTTTTTTAATTGCCTTTTTTACATTGTAAAACCTTGCAATGCAACGTATATATAGGGTCTCTATGCTATAGAGGCTCTACATAGTGAGGACATGACTGAAGGACACATCAAGACGCTTTTGCTAATATTAATGATCGTTAAAGCAGTGTCAAAAAGTTGTTATTTCTTTTCAAACGTCCGGTAAATCATGAATATTCTATTTAAACCAAATGTATTTGACATAAATCAACATTATTTGAAATAAGTAATATTAATTTGATTTATATCACTATAGATATTAAATTGTACTTTTGAATCACTGGATGTATATTTAAACATGACTGACTGCTCAATCCGTGGGACCACTAAAACAATTAAAAGTAAATAATTACTGTTAATTTAAACTACCGTTTATTGAACACCTTTTTATCGAGTGAACACCGCCATAGTAGTATTAAAACAGCTTGCCATTATTAGTTATTGAAAAAGCTTTATTTCTTATTTTGCGTTGATTTTTTTTTACAATAAGAGATTCCTTTTTCTGTTTGTTTTTTTCATTCTTGCTTACTTGTAGTAGGACGTTACGTGATTGACGATCAAAGTGGATGGCAGAAAAAAAGCTCACTGTTCCGATTTTTTCAGAGGACCAACTTCTGCTTTGTGTTCGTGTTCAAACTGATAGAAATTTTTCTCGCTTAATGATTTCTTTATCTAGACACAAAACAAATGGACAGAGAAATCATCAAGTGACACAAAAACGCTAAATAAAAAAAAAATGGCTAAATACGTAAAACATCGTCATATCGACTTCCATGGGAAACCAATATGGCGGTGTTTCACGAACTCACCTCACGCTAAGTGTTTTATCGCAGACTTCACTGTCAGGTTGAAACCTGACAGTGAATAACAAAGATTGACTTTCGATTATTTTGCGCGATAGAAGGTGGATGGGCACTTTTTAGACTATGCACTCTAAGAACCGTCTGTGAGACAGGCAGCCATCATGGCGAATAGTAGAAGGTTTCCAGCAAAGGCGGAACTCAGAGTACGATTAGACACCAAAAATGCTGCGCAGTATCAATGAACACGATGTTTGAAAAGAAATATTTAATCTTCGTATTGTCCTTTTTTTTTAATCCAGTTGTATTTACTATTTTGAGTTTATCATTCGCTAAGATCACTCTATTTTTCTTCGTGACTGGCTGTCTCTCCGTCCAGCGGAAAAGTGCACTAGGACTTCTTCAATTGAGTATATTACGCGTAGTCAAAATGTCGCGGTTTCTAAATGACGTAAAGGGATTCCTGCACTTTTTTTTATATCGTTGCTCATGCATCTTGATTTTTGTGATTTGCATTACATTGGACAGAAAAAAATAATAACATCTGAAGAAAAGTATTTTAGGAGGCAATAGGAGTTGATGTTGATTAAACATGATAATCTGTAACCCTAAGATTAGAGGGAAAGACGACGATGAAGGAGAGGAAGAAGAGGAGTTTCAAACCAAGCTGAGCTGTGTTCAAGGTGTGGCTGTGTTTGAGACTCTTGTTCTTGTTCTCTTTCGTCGTTGTCTTTCTCGGTAGTCTCGGGGTTATAGTTTATTAAGTTTTATAACAACTGTTCTGAATAAGTAACGTGTGGCTTATTAATCCAACCTTTGGTATAATTGAAGCTTTATTTCTAGCCCCTACAGATGTGATAGGAACTGGACATTTAAGAAACGAAAATCGCGATTAAGTGTTTCCACAGTGAACGACATCCCTGTTTTTAATATGTTTTTATTCAAGTTGCACGATTCTCGTAACAAACAGCATCAGAAACAGATGTTTTGCATCGAATCTTATTTATGCGCAGGTGAGGTTGTGTGTGTGTGTGTTTATATTTTGTGACTCAACTGTTCTCAATAGCGAACGTTTAAGTATACTACAATTTCTGACGTATGTGTATCGTATTAGATTATGAAGATGCAGCCATTTTTATTTTATTTCAGCCAATATTACAGCAACAGAAGATTGTAGCACACTCAGAGCATAAATATCAATTTTCGCTGTAATAAAATAAATCAGGTTTGAGAAATGCTAATTGCAACATCGAACACAAACCATTAAAAACATGCTCATACTTCAGAGCACAAAAAAGTCGGCACACCATTAAAATCGATCCACTCAAACAAACAACACTCACGCATCGCTGACTGTCAACTCTGGGATATATTGAACATCATCTTCGTTACCTTTTTCTCTCACGCAATAAAAGAAGAAAAAAATAAGAATTTACCTAGGGAGATCAGAGAAGGCAAGATAAAAAAAGGAAAAGGAGAGGAGATTAGGAAAAAAAAGGAGTCAAGAAAATAAAAATACAAAACAAAAAGAAAAATAAAGATGTGAAAGAGAATAGGATCAAGTCCGACTACAGTAATCGTTACTAAGGAGGTTTTTTTAAACAATCAAAGTCTTTTTGGTCAAGGTAATCGACTGGGTACTAACACAATCCATCTAGCAGTTCTATGGTAGCGACTTCGATAAATTCTTTAGTTAGTTGCCCAGGTGAACTGAGTTAGCGTTAATGGCGTTTGTTGTTATGTTCTCGAAGCCTATCGTTAAGACAGCGACCCGTCTGCCTGGCGTAACACTTCCCACAGGTAATAGGGAAAGAATATATCACACCTTCTGCACAGGAAACGAAGTTGGTCCTATTCTCTTTCATTTTTTATTTTTATTTTTTCTTGGCTCTTTTTCTTCCTTATCTTCTCTCCATTTCCTTTTATTTATCAATTAATTTTTTTCCTTCTCTGTTTTTTTTTTTGTTAATTTTTATTTTCTTCTCCTTTTTAGTGCGTCAGAGTAAAAGATAACGAAGATGATGTTTAATATATCGCATAGTTGACAATCAGCGCTGAGTGAGTGTTCTTTCTTTGTGTGGATCTGATTTGATGGTGTGCTGTCTTTTGTGCGCTGTGAAACATAAACATGATTAAACAACTCGCCCAAGCTGAAGCATTGACCTTAAAAACACTTTTGGAGACTTTCATCTAATAGGTAATTCTAATTCACTGCATTTGGGAACTTTATGTAGGCGACGTACATATACCTAATGGAGAACAAAATAAGAGAACCTGAACGAACCAACAGAGCCACAGGTGCCTTTTCAAGATAAGGCGGTCAATCTTTTCTACGCGGTATATCACTTGTAGTGATTTGTATTTCTATACAATTCAACGTGCATTTCTTCCTTTTTGTTTTCCATCAGGCAGCCGAGGTTCACCAGTACTGAAACAGACTAGGGTGCAGTACTTATCAAACAGCGATTGCAGAGCTAGAGGAGTAACAGTAATTTCACAAATATTCTGCGGAGGTCATGTGCATGGCAGCACCTGCAGGGTGAGTACATATGTGCGAAGGCTTCAGGACTTTCACGTCACTGAATTCTTGAAATGTCTTTACATTTATATTTCGTCGACTCAACATATGCGAGAGAGTTTCGTAGAAAATAACCTCGAAGAAAGTGCGACTAGATATTACGTTGTAATTGGAGGAATTAATGCAGTTAATAAAGTTGACAAAAATATGTGTTGGTACGACTAACATTTGTCAAAAGAAATCTTGTGGGCGTTACCCGAAAAAAAAGTAACGAAAGACGTTACTTTTTACTTCCAAATAAAAAAACGCGTTACCGTTCTAACTGATCCCAAAATAAATGTAACGATTTACCGTTACCGCTAAAAAGTAACGGACGTTGCTCTTGCGTTACTTTTCTAGTTGCAAATTAAACGTTTTACTCATTTGACGTTAGAGGTATGCATAAGTCGTAAGCGCTGGGAACTAAAAACTCTATAGGAATTAACGCCTAGAAACGCAAAACAAATTGTAATTACATTTTTTAGCTTTAAACAAATATATAGAAGTAATGTAATTACGTACCACGTTACGGCGAAATAAGTAAGGAAAGTACTTTAGGCGTAGCTGTTTCAAGAATGTAACAAGTACGCTACAACCTTACCGAAAAGAGTTAAGGTTAGCGGTTGCACCATGACTACTAACGTGTTATCGCCAACGCTGGCATAAAGCATTTAGGTAGCAATTTGGGCAAGTTCGTTCATGATCACCTAAAAAAGCGCCAAAAAAACACAAGGACGAGGAAGTAAACAAACGAGAGCGCACTCGCAACAGGTTTTTTTTTTTTTATTTGTGAAAACAAATCCTATATACATATTTGAACTAACACATAATCTCCCCTAAGTTCTGTGTAACCTCCGCAACAAAAAGAAATAGTAATTTACCGATAAGGAAATGGACGTATCGCTTATGCATTTTTTTTTGCCCTCTGACTGGATTCCGGAGGCCCCATGCAGCTCTCTAGAAACCCTATCCGTCTATCTAGCCAGAAATCTGGTGTCGTTGAATGACGGGGCACAAGGGCAACGACTGCAGTGATTCGCAATATGTCCCGATGGAGTGGCTTTCGTCACCACGGTGTGCTCATGTGCACGATCACAGAAGCACCTTCCCGTCTTGCCGATAAAAGACGAGCTACGTGATGTTGGAATTTCGTAGACAACACCCGAAGTACACTCCGTGTATTTTGTGCGGTAACTGGTATTACATGTATCTTTCGATCCAATGAGATTGTTGATCCTACGGCACCGCCACGCCAGCTAACTGACAGGAGTAAACAACACAGGATTAACACCGGCCTCGTCATATTCCTGTCGGAGGGCTGCCTCTGCAATCCTTTATTTTCTTTACCAGGCTCTCTGCCATCTCGAGCATAGTGCCCTGGGGGAAATCCGCTCTCTTAAGCCTCGCAACCTCTTTATCGAAACTTGCTTGTGCACTATGCCTGCAGGATGTTTTAAGGACCATTCCTAGACACACAGACACAATGCTTCTTTTCACAACTTTGAAATAAGCAGAGTTATACACGGGAATGACCTTGTTTACCTTGGCGGGTACGTCCAAGAAGTGTGGTCCTTCTGGAGGCTTAGCGAAGGTCCAGGAACTGCAACTGTATTTGACTTTCCAGCAAGAAACTAAAACTGGACATGTTCTTTACGGCAAAAACTCATAAAGAGGGGTCTCCTTCAGGGTTAATGTTACCGAGGAGATTTCATGGCTGTATCACGTTGCCTTCTTTACCTGTAAACATTTGACGGGCCTCAATTTTCACGACCCGTTTATGGTAAAAAATTCTGATTACATAATTCAATTGTTGAGAGAGGGTCCACAGGGGAATGCGAAGGGATTTCTCTGTCGACGTCGAATACCTTTTCTATTCAGTTCCTCACGACCCCCTGTTTCTGTCTATGAGAGAGTGCATTGACAAAGAACGATAATCTTCCTTTCAAGAGTTCCTGTGGGATTACCGCTGACCATTTTGTTAGCTTATCACATATTACTTGAAGCTCACATTTTTTTATGGGGATATCTTTGGAGAAAAAGGGCATTTGTATTGGCTCTTGTATGGCACCTGTGTTGTGCAACGTTTTTCTCAGTCCGTGCGGAAAAACCATCGCAAAGAAACTACGGGTCTCTAGCAGGTTCAAAATATTCAGATTTGTAGATGATTTCCTTACTCTGAGTAATCAGGCTGACGCACTAGAACGTGAAGTGACGGAAATGTTGCAGGTGTTTAGGACATGTGGCAGTGGGGTACACTTTACTCATGTGGAGCCAAGGTAGGGACAGTTGCAGTTCCTGGACCTTCGGTTAAGTCTCCAGAAAGACCACATTTGCTGGAAGTACAAGCAAAGGTCAAAAAGGGCCACTTCCCGTATAGCTCTGCTCATTCCAAATTCGCGAAAAGAAGCATTGACTTTATGTGTCCAGAAACGGACCTTAAATATTTTTACAGGCATAGTGCACAAGAAAGTTTCGATAAACAGGTTGCAGGCTTAAAAGAGCGGGTTTCCCTCAGGGCACCCTGGTCGAGCTGGCAGAGAGCCTGGTAAATACGATTAAAGGATTACAGAGGCAGCCCAGCGACGGGAATACGACGAGGGAGGTGTTAGTCATGTATATGCTCACAGTTACACATAATCTTAAGAAAGTTGCCTCGCGCTACCTTTGGTGTTTACTACTCCAAATAAGCTGGCGTGGCTGCGCCGTAGGATAAACAATCGCATTGTATCGAAAGATCCGTCTGATACCAGACACTGCACCAAACACACGGAGTGTACTACGGGTGTTGTCTTCAAAATTCCACCATCATGCGGCTCGTCTTATACCGGGCAGACGGGAAGGTGCTTCAATGATCGTGCATGCGAACACGCCGCGACGACGAAAGTCAGTCCATCGCGACATCTTGCCAATCACTGCAGTTGTTGCACATGTGCTCCGTCATTTGGCGACACCAGATTTCTGTACTCGCGGTCAGGTTTCTTTAGCAATCCGAAGAGAGGAGGAAAGTGCGGGTAGAGTGGTTGGTGAACCCTCTCCCCCAGCAGTGACTGCATTGCCACAGAAAGCTGACCGCGAGTATAGACTTTTGCAGAAATCGCCTCGTGCGCGCTGCCATCTTTCCTACTGGGCTGTGGAACACCTTCCAAGCATGCGCTGTTGATGTGCTGTGCGGAATATCGGATTCTGCGCGTGCGTCCACAGCTCAGTGACTCAGCATTTTTTGCCCGCTCGCTTCGTTCGAGACTGCCGCTGGAAAGGTCTATAGACCGACACGCGGCCCTGACGTCACGCAGCTGCACTCTTAGAAAAAAGGGTCAGTATACTCCTCCCTAAAGGAAGGAACGCTCTTGACACATATGTTCCTTCAGAAAGGGAGAAACTTTCGTCCCTAAAGCAGGGGAGCAAAAGTTCCTCCGTCACCTGAATCTCATTATGGCGGCCACGAATCGAGCAAATCGAGCTCAATAAGACTTAACGAGAACACTAAGTCTATTGTACGGAGCGAGAGGAGCAGCAAATAGAAGCGTAACACGAGCTTTCCGCGAACTGTGTTTACTTCTGAAGTCGGCTTCCCCCTGCAGGTAAAGAAACTTACGTTTCGAAAGCATGCAGTCACTCAGTCTTCTCATCGTCGGCAGTGCGATTTTAAACGGAGGCAACCGGCACGCAGTTCGCGCACTTTATGTCTTACCTTTGCTGTTCCTCGAGCCACAATTCCTTTGTCAACCATTGCGTCAACCGCACATCACGGAAGAGTGGTAAACCATTCGCCCAAAAAACCAAACGCCGCTCACAAAAAAAAAAAAAAAAAAAAAAAAATCCGAACCAGTTTTTTGGTTTATCTCAGCACGGTAACATGAAATTATGGCGTAGCCGCGTAGCCTAAAAGGATGTTAAATCGCTTGCCACCAGATGGGAGGGTCAAGCAGAGTAATCGCAAGTAGCTAGGATAGGTAGCGCTTAGTACCGCCCAATTCATGTTCTACAAAAAAAAAAATATATTTTTTTACGTTAGCATTGTCTGGTGCTATCTTCGAGGACCTCTATTATACACACATGTAGACATATTACGCATGCTACAAACATCAGATGAACCTACATAGAGCGCATACACATGCATCGCACATACATACATCAATTCAACAGTACACTAACCCGATCACTACTCCCGAGCTCTGCGTTTCCGCCTTTTATAGTGGTCGTTTTGAACGTACGGAATTTTTCGGTGACTCCCTAAGCAATAAAAAATATTCCCAGCATGTTGATTTATTTCCAGCACTGTCATACATCTGAGAGTATTTTCAATGCTTCAGGGGATGAATTTCTTATTAAAAAGAAAGCGCTCGATCATGCCGTAATAATTTGAAAGCCAATACGTCGAGCCACTCCAATTTGGTTCCAAGCCGGAGTTTGTATCCCCGCACGGCACTTTGTAGTCAGTATTTTCTATTGTAGTGTTTGTTTTTCTATTTGTGCTGTTCGCGAACGGCTGCAATTGCCGTCTTTAATTAATCTTTGTAGAGCAGATATTCACTCACCTGGAAGTGATGCTTCACGGGCAGAGAAATCGCTTTCGATCAACTTGAATGCAGTGAAAGTCGCGACTTGAGGCAGGTGTTAAAGGGAAGATGGGGCACTTCTACATTTGAGAAAAAACACTTGAATTGCGTTCATTTGGCCTTTAGATTAACAGATATTAAAATTGTATTTCAATGCGACGCGCCGAAGAGCCATACCAACAATTTCAAAATAGGACTGAAGCCCCGCCTCCCTAACCTTGGGCAGCCAAAAGAGCCGTCGATGACGTCACGGACAGCGACTGTCGCGTTTTTCTCACGTTTAAGAATACTTACGCAGCAAATGGTTTGGGTATTCGGGTTCACGGGGTAAAAATACACTATAATTCACTTCTAACTCATTTTTTCCAAGAAGCTCCGTAGCTTCCCTTTAAGTGTACAGAGCTACGCCGTAGCGAGCTCGAAAACGTCTAGCGCTCATCCCTGCGCACCACTTGGAGGGCAGTTTCTCCAGGAATTTAAACAGTAAAATAAAGGATAGCGGTTTTTTTTTTTAATGCTAAACTTTCATTGTAAATATACGTACTTTCAGTCATAATTTCGTACTGTTCACTCTTTTCCCCAGAGCGCAATCGCTTCCGGGGATCGAGAGTCACATTGGCCACTGTACGATAGGAGCTTACCGTTCAGAGCAGCGTTCCAACATGACTATCCACACGTCGATCGACTGCCCCTAATCCCTCAAGGGATCTTAAACTCTTTAATGGAAAGCGGAATGTCATCCTGCGATACCCCGCCCCCTCCGATCACGGCTCGACCAGCGGCATCAATGCCCGACAGTTTACGTCATCTCATCTTGTTGTTACACCACTGATACGCGAACACACGACCACATCGGCAATAATTCCAGTCTTCTGTTCACTACGCACAACACTGCCATCACGATGTTGCTGACACGCAGAAATACAGAACCACGTTGAACGCCGGTTGGCACTCGGCAAGGGAAAACAGAACCGAACTCAGCGCGGAAGGCACCTAGGCAGCCGGCAGGAAAACCTGCCTGCCTTGGACGCAGTTCCTGCGATTTCCAAAACGTCGAAAACGTCGACACAGGTCCGCGTGGTTTCGCTACTGTAGCTCCGCGTGGGTCCCGCTCCGGCAATCCAGACACGGCCATCTTACCCTGTGTACGTAGCGCTGCTGGCACAGCTCCGGAACTTCGTTGTTTCTAGAAGCTTCGTTTACTCGTTGGATAACATTAGTAGTAAAAACGTCAATGCAACCGGAATGTTCTGCACGTTTGGACTAGAAGACGGAATTACAGGCGGCCTTTGCTGCCGCTGAAGTTCAATCAACTCAATAAGATTTACTAAACAACGTGCGCGACCTGCTCGAAAAACGAAACCGAAAGAAGATGAGTCGGGAGGGCGAAAGCTTTCTCCCGCCTGCCTGGAGAAGAAGAAAAACGTCTCGTTCCTCCCTTCTTCTCGTGTCCGCTTGGGGGCGCGTCAGTAGAAGGGAGGAAGACCGCGCCCGTTGCTACCTTTCTCCTCCATTTTTTCTTAGAGTGTGCGGTAGCGCTGTCGACGGCATGGCGCATGCGTAGACGCTTCCCTTCACGCGAATTCGCTTTCTACGCACGCGCGCTGCCCACACCTGGTGTGGGCAAACACGGGCTTGTTTGTAAACAGCGTGTCGGTCTATAGATACAGGTATAATGTTTCTAAAAAGCTGGATGAGGCATTTGAAATCCAGGCAAAGGGCAAAAAATGCATTAGCGATATGTCAATTTTTTTATCGGTGAATCAATATTCCTTGTTGTTGCGGAGGTTACACTGAACTTAGCAGAGATTCTGTGTTAGTTCAAATATATGCATATAAATGATTATATTTCACAAATAAAAACCAGTTGCCAGTGCGCTCAGGTCTATCTATTTCCTCATCCTTTTGTTTTTCGGCGATTTTTTAGGTACTGGCTTATAGTTTTCGAGACAGGCTAGACATGACATTTAACGTCATTGTACTTTTTGTTTACAAATCTCAGAGCTTTCTTAGCAATTTCTTCCAATTGTCGAGTAGGTGCATACGCTATACGATTTGCATGAGATTTCAAAACAAAACATTTTTTCAGGGGGAAAAGCACACATAACTTAGGTTTTCAAATTTGATTCATTATTATGACTCAGCAAATGTTTGTAGTATTGAAACGGTAACAGAAAGACCGGCCTGACGGAAATGCTTACGCAACGCACTCCTATGATTTCAGAAATATTGTTTGTTTTTCAATCTAACAACGCCAGGTTAGTGCCAGAACGTTTCGTATGTTCCGCAGACTAATTCGAACGTAAGTTCCAAGTGGTCTATTTTATTAACTAATATCAGTCATTCCGCTTTCTATACAAATGTTTAAAGCATTACCATAGAAGCGAATAACACCCTTCTACGAAAATGTCTGGATTGTCCCCACAATTTCCAGGTCACAGGCACTTCAATTGAAATTAGTATGTATTTAATATAGCACCGGCTGTTTAGAACAAGAAATAACTATATTTTTCGGGCCGCTTAGAGAAAGTACGCATTGCGGAAAGTCGAAACTGTGCGAAATTATGAAGCTAGCGGTGGGTATAGAACGAGAAAGTTTTGTGTGCATGACCTTACCTGCATCAAACGACAAAAACCGTAGGATCAAAATTTTTCTCTGACCCTACTTCTACCTAACATAATAACACAACAAAAAGGACACTGTAGGTGACTTTGTGATTTAACTCCATGAAACCAAATTTTAGGTAACATAGATAAAGCAACTCCATTTCTTGCTGCAAATTGTTTTCTACTAATATTGCCGCGTGTCTGGCGAAGTTCGCAACTAACGTAGCTGCTATTTATGGAACGATGTTCCAACCCAGTTCTGCCCGTTCATCTTGTTTCTTTTTCAAAACTACAAACTTCTGGAAAGTTTCAAGCCATTATCGGCTGTCCTCGTTTATTCTGGTTCAAAGTATCCTTGAAGAAATGACGCGAAATTGCACTATGATTCGCTGCTTCGGAGACTAGTTCTTTCGTCGCCGTTGCACAATGTACGGTTCCTTTTTGCTCAACCTTTTAAGCACACGTCCGCCTCATGAAACGTTTATTTTCAGTTGGACATTCCTCTATTATTTTTGATCTGTGACGATATAAATATCCAATGCGTCCAGAAGGTCACTTATTGTTTCTAAGATGTTGAGTTCAGGTGTAAGTCGGCTAGCTCAAGATAGAATTTGCGTCTTTTCCTTGTATATCTTGGTCTCGCTAACTTTCGCGTTTCATCACTACCTCTAGCGCCACACGCAAAGAGACTTGCAGCATTCTAAAACACGTAGTTAATTTACAAAGCTAAAAAAAAAACGCTGTTCTTTCTTCTATCAAACAGCTAGTAAGGCCGTTTACTCGTAGAGCAAAAGCTTGCACATAAAAAAAAAATTATATACTTGATTTTTGGCTTTTTGTTTGTTGTTTTATTTCAGGGCGACAGCGGTGGACCTGTTGTGCACAGAAATGGCGGCGTGTGGTCGCAACATGGCATCGTCAGCGGAGGGCCCTTTAATTGTGGATGGCCATACGCACCGCAGTTTTTTGTCAAAGTGTCATCCTACGTTGACAACTTCATTGCACCTTACATAGATCCCAAAACAAGTCGCGAGAAAATTCGAAGTATATGCAGACTAGTAAGTTCGTAAGATGCCGTGAAACACCAAATAGACAGCATTAGTGTACTTTTTTTTTACTTAATGGAAATATTGACCTTTATGCTGATTTATGCAACACAATAGATGGGCGATTGTGTAGCACACGTGCAATGGTCTACGAAATTGACTTTTTGTGTAGGTCACGTGATGTTAACTTTTCTGCTAAACTTAGAAAATAAAATACATTGTACAGTCAACGTGACATAAGGTTACGTGACGGCAATTTCCCTGCTAAGTTTAGCGCGGAAGCTGAATTCGTGTGTAGGTACCGGCAGACTTCGTGCTCGTTACTCGAAAAATGAAATGAATCACAATTACAAATTACCAAGCCTCAACTGTAATTAATTACCGTTACAAATTGCTTTCGCTGAAAAGTAACAAATTACTTTTCTCGTTATATTACAAATTATTTTCATGTTACTTTTTCTGTACACTTATCCAGAAAACGATAGAAACAATTTTGATATTTTTAAAAAATATTCCGCAGCTCTACTTTTCATTTTTTATACGCCCGTCTGATGGTTAATGTTCTTGTAAAAATAAAATATTGCATTCAAAAGAAATGAGTGTAGGTTCACTCCGTTCACCTGCAAGCTGAGAAGGTACCGACAGCTGCAACCACAACCGCCATCCCGCTGGCTTCCGGCTTCCGGAAATGAATCCTGGAATTTTGCAGACAAATCTAGCGGTGCGCAAGCTCAGTAGCAGCGTCTTCCTCCGCAACAAGATTCGGAGCTAAAGAAGCGATCTACGAAACCTTCCTTTGACTCGGCTGTTTCGCCTGTTATTCACAAGAAAAAAGAAAACTTGGTTCGAACGTTAGAATGTATAGCCAAAGCAGAATGCTGGCGTCCCAGCTTACCTTGGTGTTTTTCTGTAGATTAAAGTTTGTTGTCCTTGCTGATGACACTGGGTGTTTTTGGCAAGCAAAGTATGCAGCACTGACACTATAGGATTCTGTTCTCCTGAATGCCCTGAATTTTGAACATCTCATTAAGGGATGGCCCTGGAGGCGACGGACACTCCAGGACCGAAAACTCGATCAGTCAGAAAAAAAGTGGCGGTTACAGGTTATCGGTCGTTCACCGGTTCTCACCTTCATACCAATATTCCTGGAGGCCATGGAGGACATAGAGAGCGAGAGAAGCGGTGGCCATCAGTCTCCCAATACATACACGATCACACCACATTTATACGTTTTCTCTCCCCCTCTAGCAGCACTCCTTAGATGGCCTAACCCCCCCCCCCCCCCCCCCACGCTTTATGTTGACAGTTGACTGTAAAGTGAGTAGTGGATTCGACCACCATGCCCAGACAAGTAAACCAAAGAAGCATCGTCCATACCCTCAAGGATCATGCTCCTAGCCTCGCGCCGGGCGCTTTTCAGCCATGCCTCAAGAGCGCGCTAAAATAAAGTAGCACACATGAAAGACAAAGGAAATTCGACCCCATCGCTCGAGGATACATCGCCTGTTACGCGAGCTGTTAACCCCCGAATCGAGAGGTTACGGACCCGCGTTTGATGTCTGTGCAGGTGGCGGGAGTCGTGGAAGAAGGTGGAAAGGGTAAAACAGTGTATAAAGCCCGGTTCAAAGAGGCCCGGAATGCAGAGACGGGAGCCGGAACCCGTAGTGACGTCAGCGCTCCCTCCGTACGGGTAGTGACCTAATTACGGCTTCCGGCGCCCGGATTAAAGAGTTGAAAAATTTTCAACCTTCTCCTTCCCGGGTCGTGACGTAGGTTTCCGTATTTTCTCCGCGGCCAATCAGCGCGGCGCGCTTCCCTCCTTTGCCCTCCTTGCCACCGGCGTTCACGTGGTTCCGCGTGCGAATGCCTCTCGCTCCGTGCTTGCTTGCAAGAAAAGCTCCGGCGATAAACTTCCCGCCCGTCTCCGACGCGAGGAAAGCAGCTCAAGCTGCAAAGAAGAGTGCCGCTGCGTTTGACGTACCCGAGAAAGCCTATGGATTAGTTCAGCTAGTTCAGCGGTACCCCTGGATCTACGACAGGTATCGTAGCGACCACAAGGACCGGGACAAGTGAAAGAACTCGATACTGCTTTTAATAATTTATTGACACAGTTTCGGAGACACGGGAAGTGGTTGCAACCCGATGAAACGGCATCTTCAATGCAAATATGAGTGGCCGTTTGTAGAGGCAGGCAGTGGTTGGCTTGCTGGCTGCAAAGAGACCGGAAAGGCAGTGGGATGTTGTTAATAAGCAAATGTGCTAAGCTTCCAGCTTTGAGGGCATGCTTGTTCACTACAATTGTAATGAAGCAACTCATTTTTCATTTTTTTTATACACAATTTTTACCAGCCTCGGGCACTCTGCGACCGACAAAATCTCCTCCCTCCCCGACACAAAATGCTGGCTACGTGCCTAGCTGCAACCATTGTGCGTGCGAGCTACATCCGACACTTAAAAAAGGTTAGAAAGGTCAACGACACTGGTACACGCTGTAGACCAGTTTTCTTTAGGCGGTACTGTACGACCGCTAGCCTAAGGTCTTTAACACCCGTCACGCAGTAGTGAAACACGAACGTCTGCTGGTACGATGCTCATCCAGATCGAAACGGGCAGGGGTGGGGATGGAACCCAAGATCCCTGGGTTCTGCAGCGCGAGCTTTCGTGCAGAATTCACTCATAAGCAGCTTGTAAGCACACATCCTAGCTAGCACAAAGGACAAGGAAGCACAACGGGCTTCCGTCATACATGCACTCAAAGGAGCACAACACCGTGACCAGATTTAGTGGACCGAAAGAGTGTGTCGTACGAGCTGCGCATGTGCATGGCATTGCTATTTCTTATAGCAAAGACGCAGTAAAATTTGACAAGCATGTGACTGTTACGAAAGCTGCTCTTGTGATCCTGCCGCGTTAAAGATGATATAAACGTGCTTTCACTGCGGGAGCGCACGCTCCAGGTGAGCATTCCTGCGCGCGACGCGCGGGCCCATGTGGAACGCCACTTGACATATAACATAAAAAAATAATCCAAAATAAAAAGCAGCACACCCTACCTGGCTCGTGACATTCGGAAGCACACGAAGAATTCCCGGCCGTCGGGGTCTTCGAACATCTGGCTCACGATGGTGGCATACGAGCGTTTGTCGAGGCTTCAGGAACTCGTGGACGGCCTCTTGCTTCTTCTTTTTCTTTGCGCTCCGTAGGTACTGCTCACACGCAGCCGCGAAAGTAGTCAGCCGACGCCAGTTGATAGGTCTTGCATTTGTGACGCACCCACAAAGGTTCATACGTGAGGCGATTCGAGCTTCGTAGCCGGGATCCTGCCGAGACGACGCCATCACGAAACAAAGCGAGTGCCGCTCTAGACGGAGTGCGCCGCGCCGGCCGCGCACCGGGCTGCCCGGGCCAACCTCCGGACACAGAGCGAGTTGCGCGGCCCGAACACGGATGGCGCCACCATAGAGGTGTACAGCAGCGCTCGCGTGGTCGGAGGCGCTCATTACTAAAAACTAAACAAAACAATAATATATCAAACTTCATTCAACTGTAGTTATGACTGCATATTATTTCACTAAATACAAGTCACGTATTCCTAAAACTATAACATAGTTTTTTAAAAGTTTATGTTAACATCACACTTTCAAAATTTTGCTTTTTCTTCTGTTTTTTTTTTTTTTCGTTTCTAAAACGAAATTGCTGCCTGTGCGCATGCGCGCTTGCGCTCTGCGCGTTCTGAAACCGGTGGCCCGTTGTGGAGGCGTTCGTGAGTCTGCTCGGTGCTTTCGCTCGCCTTCGGTGCGTCAAGCGTCGGCGCGTCGATCATCGCATTGCGCGAGCCTCGCACTTTCGGGCAAGTGGAAAGCTTTTCGAGTCTTTAAACCACCTCATTCGTGCGGTTACGCGAAGTCGTGCCCAAGCAGCGTCGGGAACAAGAAGCACCCGTTCGTTGGGATCCCAACTGACGAGGTGAGTTTGAAAGTTTTCACCCCGATTGAAACTTTTCCTAAGCTGATCTTCCAGCCACAAATTGCATCATTTGAGGGTTTTGTAATCTTTTAGGTAATTGAATATATCGTTTCATTTTTGAAATTTACAAAATGTCACCGTGATTTCTTTGCGACGTACACATTTCGGCGAGCGTTTGCACGTGGTTTTGTGAATGACGACCGTCCTGCAAATATTTTATGACCTGTAGACTACTGTTCGCGAAATATCACATCCTCTACCTCTCGTCAATTTCGTGCACAGCAGTGTAGACCCCCGTCGAGTAAATTGTAGTCTATATACAATTATTCTCCCAGTTAATAATATCTCAGAGTTCATCTGATAATTTCTGCCCGTTTTTATTAATTTATCTCGTGTAGATTCTAGATTTTACAGCCCTGCGACTAGCTTTGCCACGTTTGATTTCTTTCAGAAATAAATAGAAAGCTGGATAGTAACATAATTTAATTTTTAAAGACACCTTTAAAATCTTGAAAGATTTAAACATAGAAGGGCGGAATGTAGACTGCAGAGCTCGATCGCGAGATGTGCTATCCGTCCTTCCATGTGTAACTCTTTCGGAAGTTTTTACACCTCCCAACGCACTCCCCTCAAAACAATTAAAACTCGCGTTAGGCATTTTTTTTCGTTTGTTGCACATAATATTTCATCATTTGCATTATGTGTTCTTTTTTTTGTGTATTGATACAGATTCTCAAGGCATGAAAATCACCCCAACAAGCCTCAGGGACAGGGAACCCCAATAGACAAAAGGTAGTGTCCGCGGTAACATTTTTGTGACGTGCACTTGATTGCTGGCCAACCTATCAAGCTGAACATGTAACCATCAGCATGCTAGGTTCTGTTATAGTGATATATGCAGTCTAATCTACGATCAACTGTAATGTAAAGCGAGAGTGGCTGGGGCAAAGAGGATTATAACAAAAACAGAAGGATAGTAGGAGCAGCACTATGCAATGTTTCATAGCCCCGTTTCTCTTCTGCAAGTGTGTGTGTTGTGACGAGAAAAACTAATGTGTTCTTAGATTGTCCTGTGCAGATCCTGAGAGGATAGAGAACACACATACAGGAAAAGTGAGAAAGAACAATGAAGTGGCTGGTCCATCCCATGGGCATCATAAAATCTCGGTGGCCATACCAAGAAAACCCGGTTCAACTCGTGGTTCAACTTGACGGCGCAAGCGACAGGTATCGGAAGCTCATCAAGAGGTCAAGAGAAATGAGA